GTGTCTCGAGCTACGTTGGAAAATTGCAAGTTTTATCTAAATCAACTGCAGAATACTTCATTCGCCAGATCTTATCTGAGAGGAACAATCTGGTCATTCGAACAAGTAGAGCACGCATGGCCAGTAATTCATGTAGATTATTCTGATACTAATTTGACTGATTCAAGATTTGAAAAAACATCTTTTACAGTGAATGTTCGATTCGATCAAGCCGATCTCGACCGAAGTGAATTCCTCGACCTGAAGTTCTCATCTAATTATCAATTCCGAAATGTCAGCTTGAGAAGAGTTCGATTCGTCCAGGTCATGTTCGATGGCGTGGAATTTCTTCCAATCAATCTCAGTGAATCGTATTTTGACAACTGTCATTTCCGACATGTTCGCTTTGACTATGTTGATTTACAAAAAAACAGAGTTCAATTCCATATCAAGTTCCGGCAAGATTGAATTCAATCGCGTCAATTTAATCGGATCAAATATAAATGCATCGTATCAGGCTTATTTGAATATATTCAATTCGCTCTTACCAAATGGAACATTCATTTCATCGCTCCGCTCATTGGGAGTGAATTTGATTCAGAACGGTGGCGCTGAAGAAGGGCAATGCTATGCTAATACACATGAAAACTTAACTGGAGGAATGATTCCTCTTGGTTGGCAACGAGATGGTGATGCGTTTCAAGTTCTTTACAACGGTAGTGATTGGAAAATTGATGAAATGAACAAAGAGTGGGAGTCTTGCTTGTTCTATGCTACTGCTCCACGTAGACATAGAAAAGTTGTACTGCTACAAGTAATTGATGTGACTGAACTGGTCATGCTAATTGATACACGGCGAGCTCGATTTCAAGTTAGTGGATATTTAGGTGGCTTTGACGATGAAAGGACTCAGACAACAATGACAGTCATCTTTCGAAAGAGAGAAAATCGCAATGAAACATTAATAGTTGGTAGGTATTATTCATGGAAGAATTTTTGCAAATCAATCAGCAGTTCTCTATTAATTTACGTGTTTATTTAGGTAAAGTGTCAAATATTGATCGTCGAAATAAAACTACTCTATTATTTCGCGATCAAACTAATGTGATACCGACTGGAACGACATCGATCATTTTCCAACTGATTTTCGATCGAGTACAAAGCGCAAATACAGTAAGATTGGGCATAGCAGATCAATTGATGTTCATTATCAAACAAAGATGAATAAATGTAAGACATTTGGCTTGCTTTATTTTCGTAGGCTGTACATAAATGTGTTATTAGCCCAAACAAAGAGAACATCATGAAAAGTTTTACTTTCTCAAGTAGCATTTCAATCACGGTATAAGATCAAAATGGTATTCAAGCTCGAATGTCTGCAATTGCTAGCTTCTTGTAGTGTGCTTCTCATATGACAAAAAGAAATGTCTTTATCTATTTTTCGGTATTTTCGATATCTCTGTAAATTTGTTACGGATAATGATTCGAATATATCTCGGTAATTGCAACTCAAGAGTCAATACCGATGCAATATCGTAATTATGACGAGGTGAAAAAAAAAGAAATTCGATAATAGCGCTCTATTGTTGTGAGTAAGAAATCAATATGACGAATCGATCCGTACGAGTACAATTATTGTAGATATTCCATCATCCTTAATCGTATCAAATTGAGAATGAGTCAATTGGACTTAACTTTCATCATTACCCTCAAGATAGATTTCGAGCTCAATAGAAATGGCTCTAGTTATACGCAAAATATCATTCTTGTAAATGATCCAGCAAACATTTGTTATTTATGAAAATATCGCTCAACTATGATAATCTATTGACTGAAATTCAAATCCTTGGCAGCATCTTCTTTCATTTGCCTTTTTGCTTTTTTATCTCGTCACAACTATCTGCTATTTGTTCACATATATCATATCCAATCACGTTTGATTGTTCAAACATTTTTCTGCATCACGACTTCTACATCAATTTTCTTACACAGTGTGGCATCCAGAAGGTGGGTGAAGGCGAGTGAGTTTACTACGATAGATTCAACCCACCATACGACGCATTGCACCAAAAAGTGGATGAGTTGCGACACATCTAGAATAATAGAGAAATAGTCGATTTTGATTGTGGAGATGAAACCGTCTGCGAAGAAGGGGGTAGATCTCTGTGTGCTGCGGTTTGAAAGGAGATGGAATAGTGGGGATTGGTGATTCTTTTAGAGGCTTTACATGGGTAATCAAATATTTTAGATGATACGGGATGTTTATTTTTGTAACTATGTAAGTTTACAAGTGAATTGTTAGATGTGTTGTGCAGAGAAAAGTTTTTACGGATGTGGGTGTGGGTGTATCTATTGTTGTGATTCACAGCCACACCCGTTCTGTATTATTGCTATAGAACAAAGCTGTTCAATAACTCTTAAATATCACCTTTCAAAAAACAATAGAAAACAATTGGAAGAGAAACCGACATATATATTATCTTTAGATTGTAATGAGTTAATAGTAATAAATAATATAATACAATACCACTAAGAACTACGTTGGTTATCTTCATCATTTCTATATGATAATGATCGAAATAAATGTAATAGAATTTTTACTATACAATATAAAAGAATGATAATAATGATAATAATAATATTATTAACCGAAATTTATCATCAACAACTGATACTTTTATTATGATTGTTGCTGTTCATTTAACATTTATAACCGATAATTTCATTAATAAAAAAATCCTTTTCTACGATTAATCTGTAGATATAAATTGGAAAGCAAATTGTTGTTTTCTAGTAATTTTCTTTATACATAATGTGATAAAATTGAATTTGATTTTGGTTTTATTCTTCAAGAAATCCTATGAACGACGTATCAATATTAGCAAAAAGAAAACACTTTTACCTACAATTTCTAGAATTCTATTTTTAATAAATGCTGTCATTGCTGTTTATGAGCTAACTTTTTATTTTGAATTATAGTTAATGAAAACTATATGATTTTATGACAGTACAAATTGTATTTGTATTTGCGCATCTCTAATTGATTCATATAATAATTAAATTCTTGTACATCGAAGTGAGTAGATATTAACTGATCAATATTCGAATTAATATTTCTGATCGTTTCTCAAATTGATTAAATGACTAATTTCAATGACTGATGCTAGATTACATTTACTGTAGTAATTAATAACGAAAACTTTCAAGTTATCGAGTCAATGTTTACGACTAGGCAAGAAATACGTAACGATCTACCTGTTGATGATACTCAAGCAGAGAAGCATATCTGAAAAACGCGTTTTAATGCTCTAATCGTGGTTCTAGTTTGAGCATTTTCACGCCCATTCAGAGAAACGCCAAAACTAGCCACTTTCACAATGTAAGTTACATGAAGACGCTTACCAAGACCACTTTTACATTTGGACAACGTCCGAAAAGTTTTTTCCAGAATATTTTTCAGATGCAAAAGTTGCCTTTTTAAGGATCTTTATACCAATTTTATTGTGAAAGTGTCTGGCTTTGGAGTTTCTCCCAATGGACGTGAAAACACTCAAATGAGAACTGCGATTAGAATCTTTAAAAGCATTTTCAGAAATTCTTGTCAATTTAAAGTATAGGGATAAGTTTTTATCTAAAATTTTGAAATAAGTTAATAAGAAAGAAGGAAGGTCATTGATACAAATGTGATAATATACAATATGAAATATCTGTTAGTATTTGTTCCTGTGATATAAAAGTATCAATTGATAAATTAAAAGGTGAATATAATATAAGTATAAATAATCGTGTATGGCTTCGTTCATCATATACAGATTTATATAGTAATAATAAATGGTATACATCTAAAGATGGATCACTTTCTTTAATTGATATTTGTTTTAAAGAAGGAAATGATTCAATATTAGGAATATGGAATCAAACTGAATTAATTTATAATTTTAATTTAAATGGACAATAAAATAATGTAACAGGAGGAATTCGTCAATGGAATTCAATATCAGCATTAATTTTTTATTTTGATAGTTGTTTAGTTATATTAAATAATGATATTTTACTTGATACGGATAGAGTTCAAGCTGGTTTTCCATTTGTTTTTACTGAAAAAAACATGTGGGGTGTGGATGTGGATGAACAGAAGGTTTTTACCCACACCCCATGGAAACAATGTCTTTCTGGTTAGTTAAAGGATCTTTCTGTTTCTTTAAAATGTTAACACTTATTGATAGTATTGCTAGAGGGCAAAATAACTTAAAACTCTTCACTTTGTCCAAGTCAAATGATTGGATGGTAAGTCCTTAAAGGATTGTAACTTTGGTCTTATACGATCAGAGAGACATCGTGATGTCTCCAAAACTAACAGCAAGCCATCTTGTAAGATGCGTGCAAAATATTGCTGTTTTGTAAGAGATTACTATAAGATCTTTGAAGAATCTTACTATATGGCTTCCCGTAAGATTACAGAGATGTAGATTTTTTGTACGATTTGCTCTGATCTTACAAGATCTTACGTCTAATTTTTCGACATGGATGATCTAAAGATAAATTGATACACCTTCTTGTTAGAATTCAAAGCTGAGTTTTATAATAAGCTTTTTATTTTTATTCATCTCTGACTTTGAGTTACTGCGATATTCTTTAATTTATAGCCATCTCTTAACATAGGACTGTTTCATCGACTAACTCTTTGAGGATGTGGATGCCCGAAGAAGGGTAGAGCAATATCCATATTCAAAACCATACTCTAGATCCAAACTCAAGTGTTTACGTTGTACTTAAGTACAGGTAAGATATCTTTACTTGCTGATAGATTGAAAATGATGAAAATAGACATGCAAAAAGCTTTTAGTTGTTGCTGTTTTGGAAACCCGAAAAGAGCTGAACAAGTAAAGAAAACATAAATGAATAAATAAATAATTTTTAAAATTTATAGATTGTTCAAACTATAAACAGATTTTCAATAAGTGATAAACAAGTTTATGTTGGTCATTTTGAAAAGAAAAATAAACATTTAGCTGAAATTAAACGTAAAAAATATTTACAAAGACAAGAATATATGAATAAATATCAAGTTGTTAACTTATGCATTAAAAATTTAGATGATAATCTTGATGATAAGCAATTAAAAAAGGAATTTTCTAAATTTGAAACAATTATTAGCGCTAAATTAAGTCCATAGGATTCTTGTATTCTTTTAGAATTATGAAAAAAATTTTCTAGAGAAGAAGCAAAAGTCTGTTTTCATCGTTGAGACGATTTGTTTACTCAGCGACGTTGTCAGCCTTGGCCCATAGTTGTAACTACATCACTGTTTTCGAGAAATTTTTTTCTTAAACTAGACATGTTTATATCAGAAATGACAATCAAGCAAAGAAACGCTTGAGGTGCGACCGAGACACACTCAAAAGTTCAATTAAATGTGACTGCTGATGGATTGTGGTTTTGATTTTATCAAGATGCGAACTTGTGTAAGCTGTTTATAATAAAAACTACAAATGTTTTATCATGATGTGCGCTTCTTAACTCTAGGCGACTCTATTGTCTCATTTCAACGTAAGCGATGGTCTCAGTAGTAATTTATAGTTACGTATTCGTTCTATTTAGGTAATTCTAATATCTATTATTTTTCTGTTCATCTAAAGTTGAGAGTGTGGTTGTGGGATGTGAGCAATTGTGGATCTTTTTTTAACAGTCACCCATACACTCCACACCCACATCCTAATTAATTATATTAAAACTTTAAATACAGAGTCGATTATATTTGATCTGTAGTTTCCGATTATAAATTTATTCGGCGATATTGAAATCGGTGAAAATGGACTAAATCGAAATTGATACCCCTATTCAGTTGTTCCATGAATTTATTTACATAAAGATAACATGGCAACAATTTGTTGTATGCAATAGCAAAGTAAAACAGGGAATAGTTTATCACAAAAATTTTTCGTACGAGAAAGGTTTGAATTAATGCAATGTCTTTGATTATATCAATGCTGTTTTGCATTATCGAAAAAATGTGGCCACGATGAGTAAACAACATACGACGAGGCATAATATGAACAGTCAAAAGAAAGTATAGAACAAAAATATAGAGAATAAGTGATACTTATAATAGTAGATAAGAACATTTTCATTTAGCAATCAATTTTTGAAACAACACCATCGCAAAATTTACTGTTCAATTGTGGTAGACCTAGGCAAGTTCTTTTATGAGTGAATATAAGTCCTACAATATTAAATTGATGTTCGGTTCAAGTATTGGTTGCTAAAATCGAATGAATTTGTGAAGTATTTTCGAATAATACGACGATGCATCAACATGTCATGTCCAACACCTAGGAGCCACTCATGTAAAAATCGATAACTATTCAGTGGTTCAACAAAAACAGATGTTACTAATCGTGAAAATGCGTTAAGAACTTGTTTTTAGAGAAGTTCCACTCATCTTTTTCTCGTTAGAAACAGTTTAGCGTGAAATAACTCATGAGATTTAGTCAAGCAACGTGTTTAACTCATTCACATAGTGAACAAGTAACATTGTTTTTCGCTAAACTTTTATCGACTTTTATATGGGCAGACCAGACTAAGATTTCAAAATTTGGTCTGGTAGGCGCCTGCCAAGTAGTAGGTCCGATAGACAGCTTTTATCCACATTCTATCTCTCGTCGGTACTTTTCTCACCAGAGTGTAGCTGGACTTATTGGGTTATGTTATACAAATTAGAGCAATGCATGATTGATTCTTATTTTTTAATTCATTGAATACAAATTATTTTAATTAGAAAAAATAATACAATGAAAGGTTTTGTTCTCTCGGCAGACGATTTTGTTAGCTCAAATTGATCAAGTATTGCATCGTCAACAGTTCGATGATAAGTAAGACGTAAATAAATTTTATTCGTTGATATTCGAGTATAACCAAACTGGTGATCGTGATACAAACTCCATTTTTCTCCTGTATATGTATCAATATCCAAATTGTGACCAGCCATTCCGACTAATACATGTACAATTCCATCATGAACACATTTTTCTTGATACATTGGGCATGATCGTTCGTAGAAATGTATATGTCCAAAAAGATTAATATCGACATGATACTTATAAAATACGGGCTCCAGATACCTTTGCAACATTGCTTTTGTTGGATCACCGACATCACGTACTATCGATGAATACATGTGTCGATGTGATCCAACAATTATCCATGGTGTACGAGTCCGATCTACAGAACTAAGATCACGTTCGATCCAAACATATTGTGGTGATGAAGGAAGAAAGTCATGTTCCGTGGAATAGCAAACAACATGCACAGGACCCACATCGAAGCTGTACCAGAAGAGACCATTACCATTGGATGGTGAATGAAAACGATGTACTATTGGAACAGCACATTCACCACCTGAATCATAATCATAATTGCCCCTAATTATAAAAAGTAGACCATTATAGCGTCAAAGATATTTGGATGAAGAAAATAATTTTTGAGTTGACTCCTAAAACAGTCATCTTTCGAAAATTTTTCAAATAGTTATGAGTTTCACATTACATGAACAGCGATTTACCATTGATGGCCGAAAGCCTCCTGGACCTGGCGCTCCGCTAGGATCGTTTTCTCCTTCTGTAACATGATCGTATCCATGATTTCCAATTACAACCATATATGGCACACGCGATGCAATAGGA